CCACGAATCCACGAGAGATACGCGATTGCGTGCGAGTTAACGCGGGGTCATCTGTTGGCGATGAAAATCAAAATCATGAAATGAAATGAAGTTTGTTGTGCGCGTAATGGTCATAAAATACTGCGTTTTCTCTGTTTCTGCCTGTTTCCTTATAACGACATTTTTAATCACGTAGTCTTTCAAAGATCCTTCCTTTTCACAGAAGAGGCAATACCGGCGAGGCGCCGTATTCGAAAAGCCTCTCTTTCGATTATTTAGGTATGATTCTTTCGCTTGGTTTGCCATAAAACAGTAACAAAAGATATCGCAATTTTCATGTGCCGTACGACCTGAATAACAACCGTATCGAATTTCCAGTATTGCGTCACTTGGTGGATCGATCAGTGTTCACGCTTTGCGATCGTAGTACACGATGTTATTGTTTTGGTACAAAACCTGTGGCGGTCGCACGACTTGGCCTCGTATCCTGGTTAAATTCTTACCAATATTATAATATTAAACCTCGACGAGATTTTTCATGTCGAAATGTCGAAAAGCATCATGTTTTCGATTTCGAAACCATTCGAAATGAAGTCATAGAGGCAGTCGGATTTTCGACGTGCGGCTTTCCACCGGCTAACTTAACCACGCAGAGTCTTTGCAGGATTACAAGTGCCACACTTGACCCTTGCAAGCATTGGTATCTACTTTTGAAAGAGGTATGTGACGTTCCTTTGCGTAAATATTTCATATGCGATGTATTTAAGATATTTCCCGACGAAATCCAAAGTGTGGCGACGCGGGAACTTCAGCCGGCCAAATCATCGTTCGGAGTAGTGGGGTTAGCCAGGATTCCCGACCTCGTTCACGTTGTGTTCACGTTCGGTCTAATAGCTGGTCTATCTTCGTCGTAATAAAACAATCCCCGACGAACTTATTAAATCTGCTGAACTCCGCCACACTAGACTTTGAGCCCAAAGGCGCGAAAAGTTTATCTTTTGGCGCCAAACTCAGTCACGACTCCGAAGAGCTCGCTTCCTAACTTACCGAAAGATCAACTAGAGTAAATTCCCTTGGTGTGGAACTGAAGAAGCTTCGAACACGGATTTATCATCCCGAATCAGTATGGAGTCAATTTTACAGACCCCTTTTTTCCACCTCAATGTTCGTACCTTGTGGTGAGGTGGCTTGAGTGCCTCAATGACCTATAAAGAATTCAGCTTCAGTTGGTGGGCTGTATTTTCTGCAAGGTAGAGGCCAGACTAACACGGACTTTGTCATCGTAGTTATTCTTATGATTATTATAATTATCATTATTATTAATGATGTTGTTATTTTTATCATTATCTTTATGATTGTGATTGAATCATTTTCAAAATGAAATGGGCTGCTCAATGAGGATGGCATGCTGAGGCAATTAGATTTTCATTTATTTACCCCCCTCCCCCAAGTAGAAATTCAAGTGTTTCAGATAGTTTTTCTCTTCAATAGATTGTTAGAATGTAGAAGATTTTCTAAGCCACATTGTACAGAGGGCTTGTCTCAAGTAGTTGTTTTCTGATTCAAAACCACCTGCCTAGTTCTGTTTCTCTTGGGGTAGTTAGTCCATGGACTGTTGTTATCTGATGGCAGAACTAACTGGTGGATCTGTTTCTCTTGGGTAGTCAGTCCATTATGGGCTGTTGTTATCTGATGGCAGAACCACCAATCTGTTCTGTTTCTCTTGGGTAGTCTGTTAACTGTTGTTATCTGATGGCAGAACCAGTCCCTATTTTTTTCAGCTCTATGCTGTCAGTCTTGTATGGACAGTTATTTTTATCTGATGGCAGTATTAGCTTGCTCTTTTTGTTTTAAAAAATGAGTTGCTTATGCTCTTTGTCACATATCATCTGTTAGTAGTGATAGGCACTTTGGTCAATCAATGCTATCATTGTCTTAATTATTATTATTGTTAATTCAGCTGCTACTCTTCTCTCTTTGACACAGGGCCCACTACAGACAGCACTAGCTTAATGAAGTCCCAAAACCTTTCACAATGAGCCAACTCAAGAATTGCAGTCCTGAACAGTTTTTGGGGTTTTTCTGTCTTTTCTTAATTTGTTTTTGCCCCAGTTTCAATCACTTGGATACTCATTCAGCTAGACTAACAATAACAC